TTATATAGCGTCTTTCAGATCACCCATCCATTTCTTTTATTTTGCAAAAAAGTGGTGCTAGAAAAAACCGAAATTATAGAAAGCTCCTTTTTATATAACTAACAGAAATATTTGAATAGCCTATAAGGAGCTTCGGTGGCCGAATGGAAAGGCGTCCCGCCTGGAAAGTGGGGAAGTTCCAAGTTTGAGTCCTGGCGGAGGCAGTTTTTCGCAACATATAAAATGAATCTATTTGAGTCATCGGTTTAATTAGGAGTTTTGGGAATATATATATATATATATATAAGTTTGGGACTCAAGGATCCAGTCTAAGTGTGGAAGGTTGATTCGCCGCGTACGATGATCGATAAAATTTTGATACGTACGTTTGACATGCTGGACATATTATCCTCCCACTATCATATTAATATTATTAAAAATTAATATCTAATGGCACTAAAATCCGTGCTTAGCTTGTTATAGATCATTCAAATATTTCTGGTGCTAGGAAGTTGGGAACAACGTATGTTTACTATAAAAGCCTATGAAGTTTTTGATAGTGGTATTTTCATTTTTGGGAATATACCCCGGAAATACCAGAAACCGAAGGCAACTTAGAAATTTTAAATGGCAACATAGGATAGTATGGGTATCGTTGAATAGAGCTTTTGAAAAGAAACATTTGCTTTAAAAAAATTTTAATATCCCTCGTAAATAAAAAGATAATTACAGATGTTTAAAGTGTCTGTCACTTTGATGAAAACATCATTCCATCCTTTGTCTCACGCTACTGACTAGAGAATGGCAAGCTTCCTGCATCTGCTATTCGGGTCAAATATAATAAACACACGACATAATAAATTAGACTCGTGATACAGATTACAAGCCAAACACAGACGATTGGTCTCTACACGCTTGTCTTTTATGGCATACGAATCTATCGTGTAGTCTATTGATTAATATTCCTTAGTGCTTAGATAGTGAAAATCATGTCTTTTCAAATAAAGAAGCATTTAAAATGTTAATAATAAATGGCGGATTTTTAGAAAGCTTGCCATTCTGTGAATTCTGCAGAAGTCCTGAGAGCTGTCGGTAGTATGAGATAAAGGATGGAAAGATTTTTTTATCGAGGGATGACAGACACTTTGAATATCTATAATCATTTTTTCATTTACGAAGGATATTAAATTTTTTTTCAAACCAACGTTATTTCTTTTTAAAAGCTCTATTCAACGATACCCATACCGCGTCTTATGTTGCCATTTAAAATTTTTTAATTGCCTTCGTTTTTTGGTATTTCCGGGAGTTTCCCGGAAAAGTGAAAATATCATCATCAGAAATTTCAGATAGGTTTTTATGGTAAACATGCGTTCCCAACTTCTTAACACCACTCCTTTTAAAAATAAAAGATATAATCTGAAACACTTTGTACATTATAGCTTAGCAATGAGACGCTAGCTTATCAAATATCGACTCTATTGATAATATGGAAAAAGCTATAATGGAAACTTATTATTATTATGCTCTACAAATGAGAATCTAAGGCACGAAAACTATTCGACGGGTGCTGCTAGCTGGTACAAGTAGCGCGTCGCTGAGACCACAGGTAAAGAAAAGGATTTCGACGACCTATCTTTACTTCATTTAGATGTCCAGAAGCATTTATTGTCTATTTATGAGTATTTATCGAGAAAAGGCCTTCTGGAAAGATGTTTAGGTGGATATACGCAAAATTCAAATGAGAGTTTTAACGTTACTGTCTGTCGATTACTCCAAAATATCTACATTCTAGCATCAAAATCGTCGAGATTGCTGCATGTATAGCTGTTGGCATCTTTAATGAAGGCTATTATGCTGTATTAAAGATAATAGATACATTGAATATCAAGATTAGCAATGTAAATTTTTCGTCAATGTGAATGACATGAAGCGGTTGTGCAGGCAGAAGCGTCGCATCCTAAGCGATCCCACGAAGGAATTCATAGACAATAAATCGAGCAAGAAAGAATTCTGCAGTTGCTGCTTTTATATACTGAAAATAGATACAATGGCCGATACAACATGGCCGATATAATCCTCTTGCCTCTTGGACTTCACAATCCCTCGTCTATAATCGCACTTTTCACTCCGTCCATGTATTCTTACGTCCATGATTCAAACAATATTTAACTTATCGACTTAGTCTAATTCGTACGCGTAGATTAATATATCCCTTTATAAATTAACCTATTTATTTGATGATATTATTTACTTAAATAATTATTATTGCATAATTAAAATACAAATTTTTCTTAAACATCGCAATTTTTTTCGAAGTTTTATATTTTTTCGATTTTACGTTTTTTAAAATAAAATTAGATTCATCCACAACATTATATTTTATAAAATAAAGATTGTTTGGATTTTTGTTTTACGACTAATACAGAAAGCGCTATCCTGCACGCAAATACCCAGGTGGCATAGAAAATTAAAAAAGAATTCAGTCATATGTCACCAATTTTGAGTTCATTTTTAGATGCAAAAAGAATTTTTTTTACTGAACTGAATTCTAAAGAATTCTTTTTGTATCTGAAAATGAACTCAGAATTGGTGACATACAACTGAATTCTTTTTGAATTCTTTCAGAATTCTCTATGCTGGTAGACAACTACAATGTCAAAGTCGTAAAGAATCGCCTTTATAACTCGCCATTAAAGTATTATTTTGCAACGGAATAATTTCTTTTTATTTCATGATATATATAGTAAAATTTCTTAATATATATAGTAAAATTTATGAAAAGTTTTTAAGAAGATTCATTGAGCCGTTTTTTCAAAAGAATTCCCGAAGATCAATTTATTTTTATTTGGGTTTCCTTACTTAAAGCGACCAATTGGCGGATAACTCTCAATTAAGAGTCAGGTCTCTGAAGCTTTTGAAGCACTCGAACAGAAGGAAAGTCTTACTACTTATCTATTCATCTATCATAGGGAAAGAACTTCTCGTAGAAGGATGGATTCTAGA